ATCCAGAAGAACTGTGGCAACGTCTCCAAGATGCTTCAAGAAACCTACCTGCAAAGCTAAATTATTAAAGGTTTTAGGCACTTGTGTAAAAATGCTGTAAAATGAGGATGCTGTCAAAAATAATGTCATAAACAGATTATCTTTATCAATTAACTTCTATTAACTAAACTAAATCAACATTTGGTGTGACCATCGTTTGTGTTTAAAGCAGCTTTTGCCCTATAGGTGCACTTGCGCATAGTTTTTCAGGTAGCTTTGCAGGGAGGTCTCTTGAAGCATCTTGGAGACGTTGCCACAGTTCTTCTGGATTTAGTCTGTCTCAGTTTGTTCTGTTTCTTCGTATATATATATAATTAGGTTGGCTATGTAATTGCATTTAATTTCATTCCTTTGACTGAGGTTCTTTATGTGGATTGGAAAAATACAAATGTCATTGTGTCACTGAGTTTTTTTCTTCCCTCTTCCATATTAATCATGTTTGTGCATTAAAATCTGGTCAAAGCCAAGCCAAAATGATGAACAAATATGAATGGGATTCTTTTCGGAATTTCTATCATAATTTAGAACCAATTCTGATGAAGAAAGAATCTTTAAATATAATAATATAATAAAATATAAAACAAACAAATGTATACATATGCAAATACATTAACAAATTAAATGAAACAACGAATTATTATTGGTAGAAACAAATAAATATAAATAATTCAATTCAATTCAATTCAATTCAAGTTTATTTGTACAGTGCTTTTGTAGCCAGTGCAGAGACTGTAAAATTGGGGAAATATGATCATATTTTCTTGACCTGGTAAGGACTCTAGCCGCTGCATTTTGGACTACCTGTAGCTTGTATAACTATTTTACTAAAAATACATATGTGATATAAATGATTGTGAAAAAAAAACATAACTGTGACTGTATTCAACAAAATATGAGTACTACTTGCCGGAGGGTAATACATTTATAATTGAATACAAACTCGCACACATCATAAAACATATCCGAGTCTGGCCACGGGGGCGCGCCCACCGAGCCCGTGCGTCAGGCCTTCACGTGACGCATGACGTATAATCAGAGTCCTACTAAAAGAAAATCCAACAGGAAAACCTGCGGCTTCTGCGCGCGACCTGACTCCCAAGTCCAGAAAGTTGTGAAGTTTTCTTGATATCTTTATAACAGTCCATCAGATCAGAAGAAAGGAGGCTGCGATGTCTGCCGATCAGAAAGAGGTAAATGCGCTGCTTCCAAGCTTCTTTTTGGATGCACCGGCAGCAACCGGGCTTTAAAAAAGAGTGTATCACGTTTCTAGGTTACATAGACTCTCATATGAGAAGTAGTGCAGAAGGTTATAACCGGTTATGATGGCAAACTTCTGCATCAGTTTGAGCTGTGTGTATTTGATTTATGATGTAATTGAGATTGCTATAATGTGGGTTTGTGATATAACGCAGCATGTTTAATACAGTAATTTCATTTGAATGCATTGGCTACTTTTTTTTACTAACAGGCAATTAGTAATAGGCTACACTAGTTTACATTTTAATATGGTTTTGCATCTAATATGGATTCTCTTTTAATGAGCTAAATATAGTTTCTGTAGGAAATTGGGTTTAAAAAAATATCCTTTAGTTGTAAGTCATGATTACTGAGTTAAATCCAAGTTTATTGCAGATTGTGTAGCCTAGTCAGTTAGTTTCACTGATCAAAGGCCTTGACATTTGTCTTATTTCCTCTTATTGAAGAAAAAAGTTAAATTACACAAATTATTGTAGTTTATGTATAGTTCATAGGTCAATACTTAGTTGCATGCAGTTTGCAAAGTACATGATTTATTCTTGCACTCACATAACCTCATAGACAGAAATTAGTTCAGACTGCTTGAACACTTGACTGTTTTATGCGTAATTATGTGCTTTTTCAGCTTTATCAGTTCTTAAGCATAACATTCTATTTCACCCTAGGGGATGAAATGTCAGACTTATGAATGAATGTTATTTTAAAAGTAATTTTTTTATCACAAAGGACTGTATGAAATTGGAGGTAGTTAGTGGAAAATTGAAATGCACCAGAAAAGAGACCTTTGAGAAAGTACAGTGCCCTCAATTACAGTTTTACCACAGGGTACGACAACAGCAGCCGTTTTGTGCTCTCAAATTGTATTCAATATGACAAAACCTGCTTTGGGTGGTACGGTTTTGCCGTCTAAAACATATGTTATTCGCACAGTGCGAAAAGACCATTCAGAATGTGTAATGTCTTCTCAATTGCAATTTTACCACAGGGCAAAACAGTGCCGCTGCACTCTCAAATTGCTGTCACATACCCAACCGTGGGTGCAACCATGAAACATATGTTATCCGCATTGAGAGGAATGTTCATTTGGCTTCCCACCCATCCAACCTGCCTTCTGATGTCTTTTCTAGTAGTTTATGGGTTTAAATGTTCCATCTAGAGCCAGAGAATACTCCCTCCCTCTCTTTCTCGGTCTCTCTTCCCCCTCTCCGTGACTCGTGGGTGTTGGGCTGAAATAGTTTGGTGTAGTTTTACATTCCTTATATAGCCTGTGGAGTAAGAGAGACGTGGAGTGAACCCGTGTCACAAAGAAGGAGGGGAGGGAGTTGAGATTTGCCAGCAGTGAGAAAGTCAGGCTGTCTCGCAGTGCCAGATTTCCACTTGGTTTTCTGGAGGTTTGGGTGACAAGTTTGGCCCTTGGCATAAGGTATGTGTGCGGCACGCCACACTGTAGCAGGTACAACTCCGTGTGGGATAAGATAAGCCTCTGGATTTTGGAGACCATAAGTCACAGGGAGGGGGAAAATGTCATGATTTGGGGGTCTCAGCTTGTCCTTGGCTTTCTGTTTTATGTCATGTTACTATTTGCTCTTGTACCAACCTGTAACATAATCAACATAGTGATGCAACGGTGTGCTGGAGGTGCCAGCGGTGGATTATGTTAGTGTTTCAGAAATATAAAATGACTCATTAAGTTGTTAAATTCTGTCATCACACATGCAAATGCTTTATTCGAACAGCCACTGAGTGCAATAAATCTACTTTGAGCTTTTAAAATGTTCTGGGTTGTCATAATATATTGCAATTTCACTCGCAGATTTGCTAGAGTGTCGATAATGTGCACTTTCATTGTGTATCACTGACCAGTAATTTGCAGTTCACCACGGAAATAATATAGGTGCTTATTTCTGTCACCTACCTGATAATTAATTTAAATAAGCCGGTTCTCAAATATCTCCATGAACAATACTGTTAAACAGTGATCAATTGGGCACTCAGGAATAAAAGTGTTTTCTAATGGTTTCAGTACTGTTAACTTTCGTTAAATTGTCAAGTCCACTTTATTTGTATAGCGCTTTCCACAGAACAATTTTTTTTAAACCAGCTTCACAAAAGTCTATTAGAACAA